GATTTCTACTAAATTTGTCGAGGCATTTGCGCCTTTTAAACACGGTCTTGTATTATTCATTTGGTGCACAATTAACTTAAAATTGGATAGATATATATGAGAGCTATATCTAAATTTGATTTGGGCTAATATTACACGTTTGGTGCACAATAAAAGGCAAATCGGACGAAAATATATATTTGAGACATATCCAAATATCGTTGTTACAGAGTGCATATTACGGCTGCGGAGGACAAAAATAACAAATCGGATGAACAATATATATGGGAGCTATATCTATTTCTGAACCGAACTCGATCAAATTTGGCATACTTATTTTCAGGTCGTACGTATATTCTATACTATTCGGGCTAATATTACAAGTTTGGTGCACAATATAAGCCAAATTGGATGAATCGAATGGATGGGACCTATACCTAAATTTTGACCGATTATCTCCAACTTCAATAGGGCCTTAAGTCAAACAAATTATTTGTGCAAACTTTAACTTTGATTTAATTTTACATTAAATTGTTATTTTATTTTGTTTACAAAAAATAATCAAATCTGGACTCGATTTGTATAAAAAAATGCTTCTATTTTTGGGGGTACCTGAAGGCGGACTGTTCCAAATAATTTTCAGTAAGATTACTTTTTAACTCCTTAGAACGTAAAATGTCAAATAACATTATAATATGATGCAGAAATGTGACAAGAATTGGCCAAATAACCCTTATTCGGGAGGTACGTTGTAAGGGGACCATGCCAAAACATGCATCGACCATATCCATTTTGTCACATTTTTTATTTGTATCCCATCACGGTACCATAACCAAAGATTCATATTGATATCTGCACTGAAAGTATTTTTGGCCGCTGTTCCCATACGACCTCGACCACTGTGCGTTGGGTAGATTATAATTTACAAAAACTATTAAAGATAGTCGTACGTAAATAGTTCAATACAAAATTATCACTAAACTGAAGAGTAAATTCTATGTTGATAAGAATGTAAGTACTTAGCATAAGTAAACTAAAAACTAACTAATATTTAGATAAGCGTGTGAAACACCAATTCCATTTCTACACACATGTTTGGGTCTTTCAAACATTCTGCGGGGGGGGCAAAGTGAATAGATGCCACTCTTGTCGGTTTTATGCATCTTCTGATTGAACATATTAGAGCTATTATGCAGGCGGCTACCATCACCATTAGAGATAAGTGCCCGGAGATGTGACGAAAATTCAACCCTTTTAGATTAAGCTGTGAGGCATCGATCGTTTTCAACTGAGACTCTATTTCCGCTAGCCTTGCTGAGTGATTTACCACAATCGGCCCTAAAGGCATGACCGAGAAATTAGACAGCCGGTCTATGTCTGCTACGAAGGATGATTTGTCTTCCACGACCTTCTTCGATTCAAGATTGAAAGGTGTTGAAATTGTTGCTCCTTTTACCCTTAATGTACATCCTGGCTTCATCGTAATGATGCCTTGACTCGGTAGCTGGACTATTTGCTGTGAATCTCGACTGCAGGATACGTGAGCTGTTGTTGGTTGAAAAACTTTGAACAACCAGCGGTTGTTGGCTTGCAGCTTCGTCCATAGCGATTCCATCTTTGTCAGAGAACTGGCATCTCGGTGCATTTAGGGGCTTAAGAGAGTACACCTCACACGAATGGTCATTTGCGTCGACCCATGGCCAATTACCTTCGCAAACATATTCATAATCAATGTACAGCTGACATATGTTTAACTCAGCTTGCGTCATTATATGATAGGCATCCCTGTTGAAATTGTATATCAGATAATGTCCCGATGGCTGTGCTACCACTTTCCCACCGTTCAGCCTAATAGGCAGGGGGATGATCCAATGTAGCTGAGACGTGTGCTGCGTGAACAATGGAATATTAGCTGAAACCATCAGTCGGTCCTCAATTAATGCTGCCTTAGCAGTAAGAAGTTTGTATACCGCTCTAATTTGATCATATTTTTTTCCAGGAAATTTGAGGTGTTCAGGCATGTGCTCTCTTATCTTGGTCATTTCTTCCTGAAGTTGTAACGGCGTAATCAAGGCTGGATTGAGCTTCCCATGGTTTATGTCAATAAGCAGGTTTATCATACTCGACTGTACTCTTTCGTTCTCGCGGATTATTGCGTCCAAATCTTTGGTTACCATGAAAAACCGAATCGACTCTCTATAAACGAAGTTTGATTCTTCCATAGCCGCCGTTATGTTGTTCATCTGATCCTGTATCTTCTTGAAGTTGGTATTTACATCTTCCATAGTAGTGCGCAGAATATTAACCGTAGATTCTACGACCGAGGTTTGTTTTTGCATCATGAACTTCAGGTTATATTGATTTTCCAATAAGTTTTGCAGGCTTTCTTCTATTTTTTTTTCTATCTTCGCATCCATAGTTCCGAATAGGATGTGCTGGAGTGACCCGATGAACTCTAATGGCGCTCGTTTGGGCCTCCTACTAGTTCTCGAGAACAAGAACTCGTTAGTGTCTTGTAGACTCCGAACCTGCCTCTCCATAGTTCTTAGAATATTGTCGCACTGCGGCTCGAATATCTGCAACTTTACGCATAGTGGCATCATCGTTTTTAACACGGTCTCGCATTTCTCCATGGATTCAAAAAAATGGAAGCATATTAAAAACTATGATCATGTTCCATTTCGAGGCTACAACATTCACTGATCCAACCTGGTCCAAGTATAGTGCGGTTGACTCCTGCAGCTCTGTGATATTGGTTAAGCTGTCAGCGACCGTAGATTTTACATGAGTTAAAGCAAGAAGCAAAAGCACTAAGTAGCCTGCCAGATTGCCGGTTCTCTTTCCACTGAAGCTGTCACGTTTTTCATCAGTTTTTACGCCTTCTAATGGGCACAACTTGTTCACGGATCTCTTTATCAACCCTGCTTGGGTTTTTAAAGTGGCGACTCTTACTAACCCATCCGGTCCTGGATGGACATCTTCGACTTTACCTAACGGCCATCGGCCAGGATGTGTTTCCTCATTCTTAACTATCACCACTTGTCCCCTCTGTATATTCTTCTTTTGGGTTTTCCACTTGTATCGTTGTTGGAGTGTTTCTAGATAGTTTGATTTCCATTGCTTCCAAAAACAATTTTTCATTTTCTGCACTTGCTTCCAACGATCTAGGGCTGTAAACTTGTGTTCGTTGCTCGTTTCTGGATAGCTTATCAAGGGAATTCCGATTAGAAAATGTCCAGGTGTGAGGACTCCCACCTCGCCAGCATTATCATCCGTGTTATAAAGCGGCCTCAAATTTAACACGGCTTCGATCTGATATAACCAATAACTCTTCGTAAATGATATTTCATTGATTTAACCGCCGCTTCCCATATTCCTCCGAAGTGGGGACTTGCCGGGGGAATAAAATGCCACTGCACTCCTTCTGTCGCTAATATAGGTGCTAGGGCGTTATTCTCCTTCATGGCGGCCTTTAAATCCCTATCCAAATGTTTAACTGTTCCAACAAAGTTTGTGCCGTTGTCAGAATATATATGACTACTTTTACCTCTTCTGGCAAACAAGCGCTTTAGGGCTTCCAGAAATGCTTCTGACGTCAAACTGCTAACCGGTTCCAATTGAATTGCCTTTGTTGTCATGCATATAAATACCGCAATGTATCCTTTATATGTTTTCTGACCTCTGCCATTTGAACACTTCATGTATATTGGTCCTGCATAGTCCACACCACAATGTGTAAACGGTGCTGATACATTAACTCTATATTCTGGTAACATTCCCATTAGCTGGCATTGATTTTCTCGTTTATATCGTATACATTTGACGCAACCCCGATTCAGCCGATTTAAGTTGTTTTTCAATCCAATAATCCAAAATTTTCTTTTTAGCAAATGTTCCACTATCCGATTTCCACCATGGAGCGTTTTCACATGTGCGCCCTTAATAATTAGATCACTCAGCTCTGATTTATTGAGTATTATAGGATGTTTATGATTATACGCTAGCGAAGCTAACTGTAATCGACCTCCAACACGCCATTCTCGTCTAAAAAGGGATTTAATGAAGTCAGCTTGTGTTTGTGATCAATCGGCGTATCATTTCTTAGTCTCGTGACAATTTCTGGAAATTCTTGTTGTTGATTTTCTTCGCTGTTTGTTGCTGTCACTTCAAAACCGTATTGTCGCTTGAATCTCTGCTTATCTCCATCTTCTATAGACCAAACTGAATTCAAAGTTTGATATCTTTGCTTCAAGAATTTTAGAACGTCGTTGATATCTTGAATTTCCGTAGACTTTTGTATTGTCTGTTCATATTGTAACAGACTCTCTTTATCCAATTTGCGCACTATTATGTGTGCCAGAATTGGGTATGCATCTCCTAGTTTCAAATTCATGGATTTGATTCCCTCAATGCTCTCTATAGCTGTATCCAATAACTTCTTGATACTGTGCACTGATGATCCATTAATTCTTGGCACATCTAATAGGCTGTCCACATAATGTGTGAATAGACTCTGTTTTTAACTTTACCTTTGACCTTTTTTCCTTTTTTTTGTATAATTTATTAGATATTTAATTTGTAATTGTATTTCATGTGTTGTTTTATTGTAATTCAAATCTTTGTTGTTTGTGTGTATGTACAAATGTTTGATTCGTTTAATGTATAATTTTGTTTGTTGTAACTTAATTTGTTTAATTTAGAATTTGTTTTCTGTTAATTGTGTACAATGTTGTAATTCAATTTTTTTGGTGTTTGTACAATGTTAATGTTGTTCTTTATAATGTAATGCTGTGTAATGTAATTTTAAATTTAATTTTTAACTAGTTTGCTTCACGATTCGATTTGATGATTTTCGCGGGCACTTGTCGATTCACGGGGCACTCGATTTGTATGTTGTCGCTCTCAAGATGTTTGACGAACTGTCCGGGAATATTCTGGCTTTGGGCTGCCAGAGCTGTTGAATATTCCAGGATTTATTGGAAATTGCTTGGCTAGCGGCAGCACGTATGCATGTATTTGTTAATATGCACCAATGAACATATTGTGTACCGCTAGCCGAAAAATTTAAAATTCAAACGCACAGTAGCGACCAAAAGTATGGTCACTGACCATACATTCTCCGCCCCCATGACTCCGTGCTAATATGCGTCTTTTCACATCGATGGCATGTTCCTAATTGGTCCAGCGAAGACATATCCCATGTTAGTGTTGTACGCCTGAACATCACCCACTCCAGCCGCGGTACATCCATCTTTTCTTATGGCAGAATACGTGTCTGCGCCTAATTCCAAGTCTATGGGTACATTGCTTCTAGGGTCTGGGTCCGCAAGTGCTTGCTCTGTAAAATATGAGGTTGGGTCATCTAGTATGGGGTCTGAATAAATTCGTCTCGGCAGCTCATCTGTCACAAGAGCATTGACCTTCAGCGCCCATGTTGAATTAGATCGCCGGCTCATTATTTTGAAGGTCGTAAAACGACGATCTTGGTATAAAAATGACCTCAGACCCATCCGTTGGAAGGTAGAGTACCCTATGCGGGACATTACAGCTGACTTACTCAGCAACGCCCGTATCGTATAGTGGGTGTCTATATCTTCGGTGGTAACTCGCAGCATGACAGTGGGTACAAAGACGAGATCCCACGAAAAAGGCGGCTCGTTTATTTGAGCGGGCTGTAGGGTATCCTCGAGCTGTGGCGCCCCATGTAGCATGGTGTGGTGTCGATAATCGCATCGTCGGCAACCCGTAATGCATGGACAATCGGGGGCCAAATGCGATCGTGCCAGACAGTTTCGACAGTATCCCCGCCGCTCAGTGGTTTCGTATCTCTGATACGGAGTTTGGTCTTTAAACCGCTGGCACGAGCTCAGAGCATGGTCCTGCTGACACAGTCCGCAGGAGTATTGCCAATGGCCTGGCCGTGCTCCTCTAGCTCTGGGGGCTGGTCTATTTTCAGAACGGCTACGGTGACTGCGATCAGGACTCGGGCGGCGTTCGAAGTGTCGGGCTGGGTTGCTTCTATTGGGTACTGGTGCTGGTTCGCGGGCTGGGTGGGCTTCTGGTGGATGTGGGTTGCGGTCGGGGCGTTGCGGGCTTCTTTCTGAAATTAAGCGACGGGATTCTCTCCTTTCAGGGCGTCTTGGGCTCTCTTCGTCTCTCCAATTCTGGACTGGTAAATATGCTGCCATCTGTGAAAAAGAGAAGAAGGAGTACTAATTCTTTGAAAGGAGGGGTCCGACTAATTAGTCGGAAAATAACTTGACAACCTTCGTTATGGGTCGGCTGATGTTGCCACCAGCAGTTTTTATGTCTACTACTCTAACATTTTGATCTGTTCCCTGATGGGTCTTGATAATTCTCCCGAGTTTCCACTCATTTGGTGCCAAACGTTCGTCTTTAATCACAACTAAGTCACCTTCTTTAAGGTTATCCTTTTGATATTTCCATTTCGTACGTCGATGAAGCTCATGTAAATATTCAACCTTCCATCGATTACACAAATATTGGGAGATTATTTTTAACCTTTTCCATCTATTAACCAGACTAATATCTTGATCAGAAACGTCGGGTTCGGGCGGAGCTAAAATCGCGGTACCGATTAAGAAATGACCTGGGGTTAAAGGCGCGTAATCGTTAGGATCTTCGCTAGCTGGACTCAAGGGTCTAGAGTTAAGACATGCCTCTATGCGGGTTAAAATTGTAGTGAATTCTTCGAAAGTAAAGTTCATTTTTGGCATGCTTTTTCTTAAATGATTTTTAAAGGATTTAACCCCGGACTCCCACAAGCCACCCATGTGCGGAGCGCCAGGCGGGATAAATTTCCAACTAATATTTTGATGAAAATTGTTTTGAACTGTACTATTTTGTATATTTTTCATGAAGGCTAGTCGATCCCGCTTTAACAGATCAACTGCTCCCACAAAATTGGTCCCGTTATCGGAGTAGATACACGACGGACAGCCCCGTCGGCTAATAAATCTAGAAAAAGCGGCAAGAAAGGCATATGTCGACAAGTCACTTGTGGGTTCCAAATGAATGGCTTTGGTAGCGAAGCAAACAAACAAACAGACATAACCTCTCGTAATGAAGCAGGCTCTGCCAGAATAACTTTTAATATTGAAGGGTCCCGCAAAATCTACGCCTGTATTCATAAAGGGTCTTGCCAAGAGAGTTCGTTCAGGAGGTAGTGATGCCATTATTTGATTCTGTGTGCGTTTCTTGTAAATTAAGCATATTTTGCAATTATGTATTGTTTGTTTAACCAACGATTTTAGTCCGAATATCCAGAACTCGGACCTTAATAATCTGGTCACCAACTGATTACCGCCGTGCAATGTGATCTTGTGAGCAAAATCTACTAATAGTTTGCTTAATATTGCTCCATGTGGGAGTATTATTGGATGCCGTTCATTGTAAGTTAGCGCAGGCGATTGTACTAATCGGCCATTAGATCTCATGATCCCTTTTGAGTCCAAAAAAGGATTGAGTGTCAGTAATGAACTAGAAGACGATATTCGAACTTTCCTTCCAAGTGATTCATAGTCGGCTGCGTAAAAGAATTTCTGGGTATGAATTATGCAAGCACGTTTACCATCCTGAATTTCTTCAGCGGTGAGTTCCATTGAAGAGGTTCTAAGATTTCGTCTTTTTATTCCAGTGTTTTTCCAAAATCTTAACGCATATGCATATGATCTGTAAACCCTTGTCAAAGATGAGTAATTTTTTAGAGGGTCACTTTCTTCTTCGAATAGAGTCAGTGCTTTTAGTGTTTTTGTTTCTAAGTTTGTATCATCGGGAATTTTATGTGCTGGCCATCGAACTTTAGGAATTTTGAGCCATTGCGGTCCATGCCACCAGAGTGTGTTGTTTATAAGTTCGCTGGGTGGGCATCCGCGACTGGCAATGTCTGCGGGGTTATCCTCAGAGTCTACGTGATTCCATTGTTCGGCTCCACTATTTTCTAAGATATCAGATGTACGATTTCCCACAAAGGCTGACCAATGGCAAGGTGGTTTTTTCAACCAAGCCAGCACGATTGTTGAGTCTGTCCAGTAATGAACCGAAAAGTTTGATATCTGGAGATTGTTCAATATTGTTGATGCTAACTTCGCCAATAGGACGGCTCCACAAAGTTCTAATCTGGGAAGTGAAATTTTTTTGATTGGAGCAACTCTTGTTTTTGCAGTAAGCAATGACGTTTTGATTTCGTTGTCTTCATTCTGTAGTCGGATATATAATGCTGCTGCATATGCTTTTTCCGAGGCATCGCAGAATCCATGAATTTCTACAACACTATTTTTGGAGTAATTTATCCACCTTGGGACTTTTAAATGCTTAATATCTGCGCTATGTTTAACAAAGTTTTGCCAGTTCAGAAGTGTCATTGTTTTCAGAGTGTCATCCCAGTTTATCTTATCAAGCCAAATTTGTTGCATAACTAGTTTGGCGGTTACTACAACGGGAGCAAGCCACCCACATGGGTCGAATAATTTAGCAATTGTTGAGAGAACTTCCCTTTTTGTATAAGCTCTTCTAATGTCCATTGAGGGTGGAGTGAAATTGAAAAAGTCTCCAGCAATGTTCCAACGTATTCCAAGTGTTTTTGTCGAGGCGTCATCGGAAATATCCAGAGAATTCACTGGGCTAAGCTTTTCTTTGGGCAGGTCATTTATTAATTTTGGATCATTAGCAGTCCACTTCATTAGCTCAAATCCAGCGGATTCCATAGCAGCTGCTAATTCCTTGCGAGATTTTATGGTCTCTTCGATCGAATGACCTCCCGCTAAGACGTCATCAACATAAAGGTTTTCCAAAATTACTTTCGATGCTAGTGGATAAGTGTCTTTTATGTCTTCAGCTAATTGAATGAGAGTTCGAAGAGCCAGGAAAGGTGCACAATTAACCCCAAATGTTACCGTTAACAATTCATAATCTTGTATAGGGTCAGACGAAGATTTTCTGAATAATATTCGTTGAAACTTTGTTTGACTAGGGTCCAATAAAATTTGCCTGTACATCTTTGTAACGTCAGCATTATAAACGTGTCTGAAAAATCTCCACTTTAGTACTTGTAATACAATATCTTGCTGTAAAACCGGACCTGCATATAGGTTGTCATTGAGACTTCGCTTGTTTGACGTTGGACTTGATGCATTGAAAACAACTCGTAATTTTGATGTAATCTTTTCAGGTCTTATGACTGCGTGGTGTGGCAGATAATAGTTTGGAGTCTTGTTTATGTCATTTGAAGATATTTTTCTCATATGCCCGAGTTCTAGATATTCAAGGATCGTGCTATCGTATAATTCCTTTATCTCCGGACTTTTCATAAGCTTTCTTTCCATTCTATAAAATTGGGCTAAAGCAATATTTCTTGATTCTCCAATTTCTTCGCATTTTTTGAATGGGAGGGTCACAATATATCGCCCTTCCGAATTCCTTTTGGTAGTTTTCAAGTAATTTTGTTCACATAATACGTCTTCATCTGATCTCAAAACCTGTTTTGGGGTCTCTTCCACTTCCCAAAAACGTGTTAATATTTTTTCCATCGATGTAGTATTGCAAAGTGATATTTGTCTCTTCTTTTGTGATTCATCCTGTAAGGGTCCGCCAATTATCCATCCAAACACAGTTTTTTGAGCTAATAAGGTACCAATCGATTTCATAGGTGTTCCAACTGTAAAGATGAGTGGGCCTATGTCCATCCCTTAAACGATTCTTTAATTTCTCAGTAACAAAGGTAGATTGTGATCCAGAGTCGATTATAGCTCGTGCGTCGTAATAATGACCATTCGCTTCGATTTGAACCATGGCTGTAAAAAGTAGGGTGTCTCCTGGACGAGGATTAACTTTACCGTCATCCTGTAGTGTCAAAGTTGTTATATTCGCGTTTTCTTGATTTGATGTGGACTGTATTAGTGTTGTTAGAGCGGCAGCACTGGTGCTAGGGCGTGCTTCCTCTTGTGCTGTAGTTCCCTTATGTAACATAGTATGGTGCTTCAAATTACATGTTCTGCATCCAAAACGACTTTTGCAATCTTTCACGCCATGGTTAGACGATAAACAATTGTAGCACAGGTGTGCCATTTTGACCACATGAATCCGGTCATTTACGTTTTTAGCGATAAATTGTGGACAATATCGTATGAAATGATTAGATTTGCAAATTTGGCACGTATTTTGGTACTGAGTCTGGGATCGCTGCTGAATGTTTGCATTTTTACCCTTGTAATTTTGGGCTTTCTGGTTAATATTCGCTTGAAAACTGCTTGTAAATCTCATTTTCTTTGTATAATCGTTTCTGCTCTGAGTCTGCTGATTTGGTTTTGACAAGTTTGGTTTTATGTTCCCTACTGATTCAAGCGTTTTGAATTTGTGGGTCAAAAAATTGTTAAAAGCTTTCCACGATGGTAGAGTCTTGCAATCTTCTATCCATTATCCAAATATAAAAAAACTTTTGAATATTGTCTGGGTCAACAAATACTCTATAAACGCTAGATTTGGATAAATAATTTTTTTGACAATTTCTTCTTCCAAGTTTCTTCAAAAATTGTAATTCCACAGAATTGTGATATATTTAGTAATTTATGCGGCAAATAAGTTTCCAAATTGTTTAAAATTTTAGATATATTCTTTCTTTCATAAAAAGAAATATTGTGGGTCGCAGATTAGATTATCGCAGCACCGATTTTTTAGAATATTATAGAGAATCAGCAAATATTTTTTGGGTCAAGTGCCAGCCGTTCACCAGAATAAAAATTCCAAAACGTTTCCAAAAATATTTAAAAAATTGTTTAAAAAATATATTTTTTTGAGACTTCGACAAAAATGACTTATTCGTAAAAACTGTTGAGTCAGAAATCGCATCTTAAGTTTTCAAATTTGTTCATTCAATCAAAATTCCAAAAAGTAGATAATTTTGTCGAAAATCCAAAAAAAAAAATACGCATAAATGTAAAAGTGTCTCTCCAGAAATTTTTCTATGTACCCCAAGATGAAATGTATGATTTAAAAGTGATATGGATTTTTTTTCCAAAAATTTTGAGAAGAAATACCAGAAAAGATAAGACGCTGTATCATATGTAAGATTAAAAAATTTGACTTTGCAATTTTTAAGGTTAGTTAACCTTAAAAATGTTGGTGCTTTTCCGCCAAAAGAAGTTTATGATAACTTCTTGTATGTTTAAAAGACAGGTCTTATTTCCAAGAATTCCCAAAATAACTTTTTCTCAAAATGGCGTTTATAATTATTTAGTGATATTCCGATGTGTCTGTGTTGATGCAAAATATTTCTTGTGGATGTATGTATGTGTCAGGGGGTAACCAGCAATTTTTCAAAAGAAAATTTCCACACAAAATATGTACGATAGCAAGGTTATTTGTATTGGTAAATTATGACGCCAAAAAATTGCGCCATAATATTCCACGTAGATTTCGTGTTGTTTTTGGTATGTAAAATATTTAGCAAAATGTCTGATAATTTTTCTAAGTTGTTGTACCGCCATTATGACGCCATAATTTGCGCCAAAATTGGTTTCCAAAGATCGCAAGTTAAATGTAAATGGATTATTCCACAAAACGAGAGGGCAAGTTTCCAAAAACAAGCATTGATTTTTCCAAAACATGTAAATAAATAAGTTTTTTTTTTTCAAAATGGCCCCAAAATTTTATATTTAATAAGGGTGTGTTGATTTGCCAAAGGTTCCACTGTAAACGGACAGACAAATAAGTTTCAAAAGAGAGTCTTAACTTTCCAGCTTTCCACAAAACGACGGAGAGAAATTCCAAATTTTCCATAAAATGTTCTCAATTTAACAATTTACGGGTTAGTTTCCATAATTTGGAAACAATTTTCCACAATTTCCAACTATTTTTTGAGAGAAATCTAGATGTTTGTGTGTATGTGTAAATAAGGACGTATTTGTGTATTCCCCAGGTCTAAATAAAGGGTCAACATCAGTCCAAGATCCCAAATAACGCTGAGTTTGGGTCAATTGTGTCAATGGGTGTCAAATTATATGTGGAAAACAGCGTTTCTATCATCTAAAGGCACAGTGTCGGTGTCAAATTTAGCCGCACACTGCAATCCTTTCTCGATTCCACGCTCAAAAGCACAAAAAAATGTCATTCGTACTCACTTTGCCTCTCTTTGTAAAGTTGGGAATGTGTTGTGTTACCCCTCGGTTCTTGTTCTTCCTTCTGTTGAGTCTGGGTTGTTTTGTTGGTTTTTGTTTGTTATACCCGAACCGTTGTGTCTTTTTAATTGTCGTTTTGCTTGCTGCTTGTTATTTTTCTGTGGATATAATAAATTTATTATTCACTATTTTTATTATTATTATTATTTTTTAATTATAAAATTAATAAATTTTATATATTTTTTTCTGTTTGGACCCACTGTGGTTTACTTTTTTTTTTTCTTTTTAATTTTTCCACTGGTCTCTCATTCGTATATTGTTGCTTTATCACTATTGCTTTCCACTGATCACTGTTCTGTATTCGTATGCATGTGTGTGTTTTGCCAGGGTCTACTGTTTTGTTGAAACACTTATTTTTTGTTCTTTTTTTTTTCTTTTTTTCACTTTGTTTTTTGTTATAACACTTTTGTTGAATGTATTTTCATTTTTTGATTTATTGTTTACTCACTGTTTGCTTTGGTTTCTTTTTGTTGTTCAATTTTTATTGTTCACTTATGAGTACCGTTCACTTATGAGTCAGTTCACTTATTATGAAATTTTTATATTGTATTTTAATTTCACTTCACTTGCACTTTTTTTAATTTATTTATTAAAAAACACAATCTGGCTCGTCAAGGACCAAATGTTTTTAACTTTACCTTTGACCTTATTTCCTTTTTTTTTGTATAATTTATTAGATATTTAATTTGTAATTGTATTTCATGTGTTGTTTTATTGTAATTCAAATCTTTGTTGTTTGTGTGTATGTACAAATGTTTGATTCGTTTAATGTATAATTTTGTTTGTTGTAACTTAATTTGTTTAATTTAGAATTTGTTTTCTGTTAATTGTGTACAATGTTGTAATTCAATTTTTTTGGTGTTTGTACAATGTTAATGTTGTTCTTTATAATGTAATGCTGTGTAATGTAATTTTAAATTTAATTTTTAACTAGTTTGCTTCACGATTCGATTTGATGATTTTCGCGGGCACTTGTCGATTCACGGGGCACTCGATTTGTATGTTGTCGCTCTCAAGATGTTTGACGAACTGTCCGGGAATATTCTGGCTTTGGGCTGCCAGAGCTGTTGAATATTCCAGGATTTATTGGAAAGTGCTTGGCTAGCGGCAGCACGTATGCATGTATTTGTTAATATGCACCAATGTACATATTGTGTACCGCTAGCCGAAAAATTTAAAATTCAAACGCACAGTAGCGACCAAAAGTATGGTCACTGACCATACAGACTCCTTTTATTGTCGTACCTTTTACGTAATGCTTCCAAAGCCCCTTCATATGCTGAACTGGTTAACGGCATGTTTCGAATAATCTGCAGTGCATCCCCCTTAAAAGCTGACCGTAGACGAAACAGCTTCTCTTGATCTGAGGCATTTTTATCTTCGTGCACTAATGTGCGAAATAATTCATAAAACGAGTTCCAATCTTCACGACGTCCACTAAACTCTGGAATTTTTATTTTTTCGACCATTACGGATTTTCTTTCTGCCGCTTCTAAAGATGTCAACCATTCTGTTATTTGCATCTGAGCTTTGTTGAAATCTTCTCCGGACTGCTCCCACTGATCTTCCGTAAAATCATTTCCGGCACCTTCTCTCGCCATTTCTGATCGAATGTCGAGCAGTCTGTTCATCTGGACTTCCAGTCTCTCAAGCAGTTTTGTTAAATATAACTTGTCTTTTTTGGTTTCGACCAGCTTTATCATAGAAATATGGTATTACTGCGATATTTCCTACCTCGCGCCGTCTGCAACATAGCATCTAACACTTTGAAGATGGCGTATTGTTGAGAGTACATTTCTTGGCAACTAGGCATTTTGATAAGTCCTTTTAAAAATGTTGTTGTAGTTGATCGATGTTTAATTTTTTTTTTTTTTGTAGATTTGTTTTTTTTTTTTTTTGTTTGCGATTGTTGATCAATGTTGTTGTTGAGTTTTGTAGATTGTTATATTGTGGTTGGTGAGTTGTTTAACTGCTGTTACCACACTTGATGTTGTTAAAGTTGTTTGTTCCTAATGTTAAATAGTTTTTGATTGTTGTTGATTCGATTTTAGATGTTTGCTAGTTCCTTGACTTTCGCTAAAGTGAGCGCTCGATGGACCAAATATTTGAGAGGAGAATGAAAATGCTCGTATGATGCTTGATTCGACACCGAATTTATTTTTTCATAATTCCATCTTAAGTGCTAGCTTACAAAATAATTCTTAACCTTACACACTATCTAGCAACCCTTACTTTCTATTCAAGAATACATATGAATTGGTGACAGACCAACGCGACTCATCTTGCGTACATTGTCTTGCCTGCATATCTCTTGTGGGGGTCATAAAATCTTTATTACATGCTCGTTATCTTATGCAGCAGGCAAACACAGCGTTGGGTAGATTATAATTTACAAAAACTATTAAAGATAGTCGTACGTAAATAGTTCAATACAAAATTATCACTAAACTGAAGAGTAAATTCTGTTGATAAGAATGTAAGTACTTAGCATAAGTAAACTAAAAACTAAATAATATTTAGATAAGCGTGTGAAACACCAATCCCATTTCCACACACATGTTTGAGTCTTTCAAACATTCCAATTCCGTTACTCATTCCAAATTTCATTAAAAGTGGAGATACATATCGTGTTTGGTATATCAAATGCTTGAAATCGGCCGAAAATATATATGGGAGCTATATCCAAATTTGAACCTATTTCAATAGTACCACGTACCAAAAATTTGGAGACTGTATCTGTAGTCGATCAATAGATATGTGCATATACAAAATATTCTTTTGGAGGTACCTCCGATTCTGATGCTATATATCCAGTTCCAAGTGGAATTTCAAACATTTATATAGCCCATGTTACTTTCAGGCGATGTTGTAGTATACATAGAAATTTTTGAGAAAATCTGTTCAGCGGTTTTCGAGTCCATAAATTACAAACAAACAAACATTTTCCTCTTTTATAGATATAGAAGAAAGATTATCACTCAAGTTTGGTGTGACCGCGTTAAATTATGGCGACATCATCTATTCAGTTTCACTACCAGATAATTCGGTACTACTGATGTTTTCAGTTAATAGCTTATTATCTTCTGAAATGATATTGTTCGTATAGTTCCATTTATCCAATAAATACATAAAATCTATATATAACAATTTTGTCCGTTGTCATATTTAAAAAAAAGAAAAGCACTACAAATGTACTTTCGAAAATAGTAATTCAAAATAAAAAAATCATGCCAAATAAATCACTACCATTGTGTATTTCAAAAGTCAAAATGAAAATGTTAAAGTTTCACATTTTTACGCTATTTTTTTGGATTGTATCCTTTTCTGCCAAGAGACAATTCCAATTTTGTCTGAATCGTTAAAATCAGATAAACGGTTCTTGAGAACATCTATAATAGCCCCATGTCAAAATTCAGATCAATTTTTGATATTGTAAAAAGCATTCAAATGAGCTATAATTTAAAATTTGTATTTAAATCCCGTACTGCGTGGTATTCAGTTTTGTCCACCTCATACTTGAACGCAGAATGTTGGCAGAATAGCCAAAAAAAATTACTCTTTTGCTCCGATTACCGTAAGATGGGCATTAATTATTTATCATTTAAATTGTGCGGTGGAGATCCAATAAAGTTACTTTATAATTTCGTATTTTTTTCATGTTTCTGCCACAATTTACGTTATATAGACGTACATCCCAAATCTACGTTCCCAACCAATATTCTCTCGGGGGTTACAAATTCAATGGATTACAAAATTTTCTTTTCTGACCACACATTGGTTGGGAAAGTGGACTTGGGGGTATACTAATGTGGGGACTATACTTAAATAAATTCCTATGAGGATAATTATCTGTAAGATGATTTTCTACCCCAAGGGTTTTTTACCCCAGGTAGCCTCAAGACTAAGATGTGTACTTTTCCGAAAAATAAAAATTTATAAGAAGAGGTTTTCTTCCCCCTTAGAAACAAAGATGTCAAATAAGGGCAAAAAAATGAAAAAAGTGGCCAAGACCCCGAAAATACCTTAAATCATATGATGGTGATACCAAAACGTGATAATTTTTTGCAAAGATGGTTTCTTCTTAAATTATCAACATAAGCTAAAATTAGTACGAAAAATATGGTTAAAATGTAGAATATACTTGAAATCGGGTTGTTCCGTTATCAGGGGTTATGACCCATATCATGATCTGCTAAAGCGATTAAAGGTATCTTGAATGTTTAGGAAGAATTTCTATTTTGCGTTCTTTATAGTCGGTATTTGACTGATTGCAGTCCCAATGTATTTTGCATTTTGTGTTCTCATTTGACAATTTATTGTCATATGAAAGGAGCAGGTCCACTTTTTTAAATTAACCCCATAACACTTCTTCGGTCATTTTTGTTTGTTTAAATGTGTTCGCATCTTCCAGCTGAAGCACGATGTAGGTCCTGGAGTAGAAAGCATTTAACATCGTATTACGCCCTCATTTCATTTTAAATATTATTCATTCAGAATTCAAACCAATAAAAACATGTACACTTCAATATAGAAAAAAGAAAACTAATCTTCAAATGGTTCGCTGATTTTTTGCGGCAAATTTTTAAGGTCCTTACATAGTTTGTCGGTAGAATGTACTATTATTTTGAAATTCGATTCCATTGAAAAATTGTCGATTTTTCCCGATTTTAGAATTTTCATATAAAGCGACAACGGATAAAATTGTTATTTATAGATTTTATGTATTTATTGGGTATTACGAATAAATACATAAAATTTATAAATAACAGTTTTATCCGTTATGGCTTTATACTACCCAAAAAAACCTACACATCATATTAGAATTAAAAAAAACACTACAAATGTACATTCGAAAATAGTAAGTCAAAATGGAAAAAATATGCAATATAAAACATTACTATTGTACATTTTAAAAGTCAAAATAAAAATGTTCAAATTTCACATTTTCACGCGATTTTTTTGGATTCTATTCTTTTCTGCCAAGAGGCAATTCCGAATTTGTCTAAATCGTTAAAATCAGACCGGCGGTCTTTATGTTATAAGAGTAGTAACTAACACAACTTTCTTTTACATATAGAGAGATAGATTTAAAAGTAGGCGAGTTCCTCAGCCCCTAAATAAGTACTTAGGGTTGGATGGAAAGCCAACAGTATCTCGTGTAATAATTATCAAACCGATATCTTCACTATTTTGGCAAATATAAAGATTTTAGATAAATCGTAATAGTGGGCGTAAAAGGAAGCGTGGTTAATATTTTTTTCTTTAAAAACCTAACTCGGGGTATGACGAACGTTTGTACAAAAAATTATGCAAATCGGTCCAGCCGTTTTCAACTGATTCCGTTACCAACAAACAACAATTGA